GAACATCCTGATGCATGTTCAATAAACTGGGAACATCCTGATGCACGCTCAATAAACTGGGAACATCCTGATGCATGTTACATAAATTGGGAACATCCTGATGCATGTTCAATAAACTGGAAAAATCCCGATGCACGTTCAATAAACTGGAAAAATCCTGATGCATGTTACATAAATTGGGAACATCCTGATGCAAGTTCAATAAACTGGGAACATCCTGATGCATGTTCAATAAACTGGGAACATACTGATGCACGTTCAGTAAACTGGGAACATCCTGATGCACGTTCAATAAACTGGGAACATCCTGATGCATGCTTAATAAACTGGGAACATCCTGATGCACGTTCAATAAACTGGGAACATCATGATGCACGTTCAATAAACTGGGAACATCATGATGCATGCTCAATAAACTGGGAACATCATGATGCACGTTCAATAAACTGGGAATATCCTGATGCACGTTCAATAAACTGGGAACATCCTGATGCACGTTAAATAAACTGGGAACATCCTGATGCACGCTCAATAAACTGGGAACATCCTGATGCATGTTCAATAAACTGGGAACATCCTGATGCACGCTCAATAAACTGGGAACATCCTGATGCACGTTCAATAAACTGGGAACATCCTGATGCACGCTCAATAAAATGGGAACATCATGATGCACGTTCAATAAACTGGGAACATCATGATGCACGTTCAATAAACTGGGAACACTATGATGCACGCTCATTAAACTGGGAACATCATGATGCACGTTCAATAAACTGGGAACATCATGATGCATGCTCAATAAACTGGGAACATCATGATGCACGTTCAATAAACTGGGAACAGCCTGATGCATGCACAATAAACTGGGAACATCATGATGCATGCTCAATAAACTGGTAACATCCTGATGCACGTTCAATAAACTGGGAACAGCCTGATGCATGCACAATAAACTGGGAACATCATGATGCATGCTCAATAAAATGGTAACATCATGATGCACGTTCAATAAACTGGGAACAGCCTGATGCATGCTCAATAAACTGGGAACATCATGATGCATGCTCAATAAACTGGGAACATCATGATGCACGTTCAATAAACTGGGAACATCATGATGCATGCTCAATAAACTGGGAAAATCATGATGCATGCTCAATAAACTGGGAACATCCTGATGCATGTTACATAAACTGGGAACATCCTGATGCATGTTCAATAAACTGGAAAAATCCCGATGCATGTTACATAAATTGGGAACATCCTGATGCAAGTTCAATAAACTGGGAACATCCTGATGCATGTTCAATAAACTGGGAACATCCTGATGCACGTTCAGTAAACTGGGAACATCCTGATGCACGTTCAATAAACTGGGAACATCCTGATGCATGCTTAATAAACTGGGAACATCCTGATGCACGTTCAATAAACTGGGAACATCATGATGCATGTTCAATAAACTGGGAACATCATGATGCATGTTCAATAAACTGGGAACATCTTGATGCACGTTCAATAAACTGGGAACATCATGATGCATGCTCAATAAACTGGGAACATCCTGATGCACGTTCAATAAACTGGGAACATCATGATGCATGCTCAATAAACTGGGAACATCATGATGCACATTCAATAAACTGGGAACAGCCTGATGCACGTTCAATAAACCGGGAACAGCCTCATGCACGCTCAATAAACTGGGAACATCCTGATGCATGGTCAATAAACCGGGAACATAATGATGCACGTTCAATAAACTGGGAACATCCTGATGCACATTCAATATACTGGGAACATCCTGGTGCACGTTCAATAAACTGGGAACATCCTGGTGCACGTTCAATAAACTGGGAACATCCTGAAGCACGCTCAATAAACTGGGAACATCCTGATGCACGTTCAATAAACTGGGAACATCATGTTGCACGCTCAATAAACTGGGAACATCATGATGCACGTTCAATAAACTGGGAACATCATGATGCACGCTCAATAAACTGGGAACATCATGATGCACGCTCAATAAACTGGGAACATCATGATGCACGTTCAATAAACTGGGAACAGCCTGATGCATGCTCAATAAACTGGGAACATCATGATGCATGGTCAATAAACCGGGAACATCCTGATGCACGCTCAATAAGCTGGGAACATCCTGATGCACATTCAATATACTGGGAACATCCTGATGCACGCTCAATAAACTGGGAACATCCTGGTGCACGTTCAATAAACTGGGAACATCCTGGTGCACGTTCAATAAACTGGGAACATCCTGAAGCACGCTCAATAAACTGGGAACATCCTGATGCACGTTCAATAAACTGGGAACATCATGTTGCACGCTCAATAAACTGGGAACATCATGATGCATGCTCAATAAACTGGGAACATCCTGATGCACGTTCAATAAACTGGGAACATCATGATGCATGCTCAATAAACTGGGAACAGCCTCATGCACGCTCAATAAACTGGGAACATCATGATGCACGCTCAATAAACTGGGAACATCCTGATGCACGTTCAATAAACTGGGAACATCCTGATGCACGTTCAATAAACTGGGAACATCATGATGCATGCTCAATAAACTGGGAACATCATTATGCATGCACAATAAACTGGGAACATCCTGATGCACCCTCAATAAACTGGGAACATCATGATGCATGTTCAATAAACTGGGAACATCTTGATGCACGTTCAATAAACTGGGAACATCATGATGCATGCACAATAAACTGGGAACATTCTGATGCACGTTCAATAAACTGGGAACATCATGATGCATGTTCATTAAACTGGGAACATCATGATGCATGCTCAATAAACTGGGAAAATCATGATGCATGCTCAATAAACTGGGAATATCATGATGCTTGCTCAATAAACTGGGAACATCCTGATGCACGTTCACTAAACTGGGAACATCATGATGCACGTTCAATAAACTGGGAACATCATGATACACGTTCAATAAACTGGGAACATCATGATGCATGCTCAATAAACTGGGAACATCATGATGCACTTTCAATAAACTGGGAACATCATGATGCATGCACAATAAACTGGGAACATCCTGATGCACGTTCAATAAACTGGGAACATAATGATGCACGTTCAATAAACTGGGAACATCATGATGCACGCTCAATAAACTGGGAACATCATGATGCATGCTCAATAAACTGGGAATATCATGATGCATGGACAATAAACTGGGAACATCATGATGCATGCTCAATAAACTGGGAACATCTTGATGCACGCTCAATAAACTGGGAACATCCTGATGCACGCTCAATAAGCTGGGAACATCCTGATGCACGTTCAATATACTGGGAACATCCTGATGCACGCTCAATAAACTGGGAACATCCTGGTGCACGTTCAATAAACTGGGAACATCCTGATGCACGCTCAAACTGGGAACATCTTGATGCACGTTCAATAAACTGGGAACATCCTGAAGCATGCTCAATAAACTGGGAACATCCTGGTGCACGTTCAATAAACTGGAAACGTCATGATGCACGTTCAATAAACTGGGAACATCCTGATGCACGCTCAATAAACTGGGAACATCCTGGTGCACGTTCAATAAACTGGGAACATCATGATGCATGTTCAATAAACTGGGAACATCATGATGCATGCTCAATAAACTGGGAACATCATGATGCATGCTCAATAAACTGGGAATATCATGATGCATGCTCAATAAACTGGGAACATCCTGATGCACGTTCAATAAACTGGGAACATCATGATGCATGATCAATAAACTGGAAACATCATGATGCACGTTCAATAAACTGGGAACATCATGATGCATGCTCAATAAACTGGGAACATCCTGATGCACGTTCAATAAACTGGGAACATCATGATGCACGTTCAATAAACTGGGAACATCATGATGCATGTTCAATAAACTGGGAACATCATGATGCACGTTCAATAAACTGGGAACATCATGATGCATGCTCAATAAACTGGGAACATCATGATGCATGCACAATAAACAGGGAACATCCTGATGCACGTTCAATAAACTGGGAACATAATGATGCACGTTCAATAAACTGGGAACATAATGATGCACGTTCAATAAACTGGGAACATATGATGCATGCTCAATAAACTGGGAACATCATGATGTATGCTCAATAAACTGGGAACATCATGATGCATGCTCAATAAACTAGGAACAGCCTGATGCATGCTCAATAAACTGGGAACATCATGATGCATGCTCA